TATTAATTTCTTACCCAATTTGGTAATTCAATTTATTTTCAATTTACTGTGCACAGTGCTGGATTACCCCATAGGCCCGTGAGGCCCGGGCCTAGGGCGGCAGAATTTGGGGGGCGGCAAATTTTTCAGAATGTCAAAAAAAATTTAAACTCGATAAAATGTCTCGATAATTTATTTCAAGGATTAATCCTGATTTTTTTTATAAATTTACAGATCGTTTTACATAAAATAGAATGTAAGTCGTAATGGGCGAGTGTAATCATTGACTATTAAAAATAACACAGACATCGTATAACAATAACATTAAGACTTTTTAAGTGTTTATTCATAATCTCAAATGTCGTACAAGTGTAATTTATTACCGCAACGATTAATGATTCATCTGCTCTTATCATAACTAAACTAAGCATATCCCAATAAGGAACCATTGAAATCGATTTTTATCGCCTAAAACAACAACTTTGGCGAGCAGTGCTCGGGTTCGCCCGCTATGCGTGAACTGCGTTTGGCCGTGTTCAAGTCAGTGGTTTCCAACCATTTTTGCGATGCGCACCCCGATCTAATAATAAAAACTAGCTGTAAGTGGAATTCTGTCTTAAGGCAATTAGGGCATCGTGCCTTAAGGAAAATTGCTGGAACTTCCCGTACCAAAAATTATTATTTTTTCAAAAAACGATTAACATTTTTGAAAAAAATTTACTTCGAAAAAATAAGATTTTTGAGAAACTATAAATTGGACAAAAAATTACTTTTTTTTGAAAAAAAAAAGTTTTTTTAAAAAAAAATTTTTTTAAGAAACCCCACGTAAAGATATATAAAAATTTTCATTTCCGATTTTTTTGCGATTACTATAACAATTAACTAATTAATAAGCAATATTATGTAAAAATATACATAAAAAGTGAAAAAAATAATGAATTTTTATGTATATTTTTACATAATATTGCATATTAATTTGTAGTATGATAATATCAGTTAAATATTTAAATATTTATGAAATAAAATTGTTAGAAAAATAAAAGAGGGCGCATTTTTTATTAGATTGGGGGGGCGCATCGCAAAAATGATTAGAACTTCAAAAAAAATTGTTTTATTTTCGAAAATAGTATTTTCGAAACAGTACGTCACTCTTGGAAAAACCTCGCGCCCCGCTAAGGGTGCGCGAACCACAGGTTGGAAAGCACGGGGCTAAGTGGCTAAAATCAAATAATAACAAATGTATAAATCTAAGATCGAACTATAAACAAAACGCAGTAATTATTTCAGTTTTACGATAGCCGTTTAAGTGAAAAGTCTTATAATTTTATTATTGTGTTCAGTACCATTAAAGAATTAAATTAGATATTATTTTGAATTAGACTCTTTTTTAACTAAGTTTTTTGGTTTGTCTGAATTTAATCGTTTTATTTACAATTACAATGAGTGGGTACCGGAAAAAACTAAGTGGTGCAGAATATCGTAAAAGGAAAACAGAAGAATCTTTAAAACAAGAGTGTTTACTGAATAAAATTCCAAAAATTTCTAATTTTATGAGAACTGTGACAAGTTCAAAAAAAATTGTGAGTGATGATCAGCAAGCATTAGGTTCATCTGTTGTAAGTATTTTGATTACTTATTAGTATTTTTTTTTAAGAATAACCTTGAAAAAAAACGATTTTTTTATATTTTTGAGCTTTTCGAGTTTGCGTCAATCGACGTCAATTTCGATGTAATGAGCTTAGTAACTTACCGGAGGCTAAATTAAAGTAATTGCAAAAAAACGAAAATGAAAATTTTCATGTTGTATTTTGACCAGTCCTCTTAGTCATAGATTTTTCATGTTAAACTGCGCAATAATGAGCTGCAATCGTAAAGGAATCAAAGTTACTGTTGAATATGGTAAAGATATTTAAAATTTCTAGGTATTGGATTTGGCAACAAGTTTGTATTTGAGGAAATGTGACATAACATAATCACATATTGTTTTAACGTTAATATTAACGCTAGAATTTTTTGGTAGCCGGCGAATTTGCTGTTAGTCTCTAGAAGATCATTTATTGACTTATTAAGGTTTTGCTTCGATTTTTTCTCAATTCTATCGTTCTTGATATTAACAACTTGTACAAATGGATATTCATTAAGAATATGTAAGAATTTTGGGAGATCTTAGAAATGAAAGAAGTTTTTTTTTAAATTAAAAAATATTGACGTATTGAAGCATTAATTGAATTTATAAGAAGGCTGGTCCAGCGGTTTGATAAAATGAAAATGTTTTGAAAATGTCATTTTGCGATAATATATGATGATTTGGCATAATTGCATCAAATTGTCAGATGTTTAAAAAAAGTTTCAATAAGAAGTACAAATTTTGATTACATTTCTGGGTCCCATACCAAGATTTACAATATTCAACAAATAGACTGCAAAGCGGCGCTTATGCGCTTCGATATATCGTATTTCTGTCTATCGTAGCTTTTTTCATGTTTTTTTTTAAAAAAAAAAAAATCAAATTTTGCCAAAAACGTTCCGAGGGCATTTAAGCATGCAGATATATAACATATATTCAATTACTATAAACTATCCTACGGAAAGTTAATTATGAATATATTAATGTCAGTTGTAAAAAGATATTTTTGTTTTTAGCCGGAACTGAACGATACTTCAGCACAAAATACAGAAGCACAACCAAAACCTTCTTTATTGGAAGATACAAACTCAAGCAAAACAACGAATTTTTTTTTATCAAAAGATGCGATAGAAAATTTATTAGCAACCGAAACTTTCTGGAAATTTCGTTTCAATTGTTTCTGGAATTTAAACGATGAAACACGAGATTATATAACTAGAAACGGTATACCAACAAATAATGTAACAGATTTTAAAAATTCGAGAAATGTTTATAACGATAAAACGAGATTTTGTTCTGAAAGTTTGTTCAAACGGACTTTGAAAAATGAAGAAATACAACGTCGAGAGTGGTTAATATATTCAGAAAAAAAGGGTCGATATTTTGTGCTCTATGTTTACTATTTGGCAGAAGCGGTGAAGTAAACGCTTTTACTGGTGACGGGTTTCGAGATTGGAAGAACTCAAAAGCGCGCATTGAAGCTCATGAAAACTCTGATTTTCATAAAACCAACATTAGCCACTTTAAAGCTCGAGCTGTCATTCAAGGTCGTGTTGATCAACATCTAATGAAACAGCTCGATAACGAAATTTTATACTGGAAAAAAGTTTTATATCGAGTAATTGCGATCGTTAAATCTCTCGCCATAAGAGGGCTGCCATTCAGAGGACATTCGGAACGAATTGGAGATCAACATAATGGAAATTTTTTGGGTTCTGTCGAGCTTCTTGCTGAATTTGACCCATTTTTACAAGAACATTTAAAATTATACGCGCATCCCGGTCGTGGAAATACCTCTTATTTGTCAAAAACAATTTACGAAGAAATAATATCATTAGTTCAAAGTAAAGTATTGAAACATATTACGAAGGAAGTGCAATCTGCTAAGTATTTTGGTGTAATTGTGGATTCTACGCCTGATATTGCTCATGTAGATCAACTGACAATAATTATTAGGTACGTACGTAATAATGGCGAAATTGTCGAAAGATTTTTAGAATTCATTCCAAATACTGGTCATAAGGCTCAAGATATTGAAGATGCTCTATTAAAATCTCTTGAGAGAAATGGTTTGGATATTATGAACTGTCGTGGTCAATCATACGATAATGCAAGCAATATGTCAGGTGTATACTCCGGAGTGCAGTCAAGAATCAAAGCAACTAACCCCTTAGCAGAATACGTTCCTTGCGCAGCTCATTCCTTAAATTTAGTGGGTACTTGTGCAGCGGAATCTGTAACCGAAGCTGTCGACTTTTTTTCTACTCTGCAAGAATTATACAATTTTTTTACCATTTCAACCAATCGTTGGGACATCTTAGTACAGCATACAAGTTTAAGACTCAAAAGCCTTTCTCAAACTCGTTGGTCTGCTCGACATGATGCTTGTTACGCATTAGAAAAAGAGTGGTCTGGCACAATTATTGCATTGAAATTTATTGCTGAAAACAATAATGAAAAACCTACAACACGGTGTCAGGCTAGGGGATTGCTGCAAAAATTACAGCATTTGGAAACAGCAATACTAGTCGTTGTTTGGAATGCAATTTTGGAACGCTTCAATGCTGCTAGTAAAAAATTTCAAGACTCAAAATCTAATTTATCATCTGTTTCACAAATGTATAGTTCTTTGGCATTATTTTTAGAGGACATGAGAGCTAAACAATTTTCCGAATACGAGGAAAAAGCCAAAGCACTTTCTGGGGTAAAAAACTATCATCATGACAACCATCGTAAAAGAACCCGAAAATTTCAGGCAGATGAGTCACAAGAGCATGAAAGAGTATTTTTATGTGGAGAAGAACATTTTCGAATAAATATTTATTATCGAATTTTAGACACTTTAAGTGTTCAATTGGCAGGCCGTAAAAGTGCTTATCATACGCTCTATGAAAAATTTAATATTTTTGACAATTTGTCTGAAATAGAAACTAGAGAATTAAAAATTCGGGCAAATGAGTTAGTCACCAAGTATCCTGAAGATTTGGAAGACACATTAGGAAATGAATGCATTCATTTACAACAACTACTTATAGAATCTTTTTCAAGTAAGGAAGATGTTCGAACCGCACAAGGAATATATAATTTTTTGCATTCTAATAATCTTCGTGAAGTTTATCCAAATATAGACATTGCTTTACGGATCTTTTTGAGTATTCCTGTTACAAATTGTTCAGGAGAAAGGTCTTTTTCTACTTTGAAAAGGGTAAAAACATATTTACGAGCAAGTATGGGCCAAGATAGACTTAGTGCTTTAGCATTACTGACTATCGAAGCACAACTTGTTCAAGAAATTGATTACAATGATATTGTTGATGTTTTTGCTCAGACAAAATCCAGAAAAAAATATTTACGAATAGCTATAAATCATAGTTTTAGAAAAATGTGTATTATATTTATATTATATTGTTGATATTTAATAAACATTATTTGTATTATTTAACAATTATTATTTCAAAAAATAAAATATATATCTAAGTAATTTAAAATAAAATATATTTTTTAAATAACAAAATAAATTTTTGTATATTAAAAAGGGCGGCTGATTTCATAGGGCCTAGGGCGGCAGATAGCTTAAATCCGCCACTGACAGTGGCCTAGATCAACTAGTGGGGTGCATGGTTATCGTGCCTTAAGGCAAATTGCTGGAACTTTCCCGTACCGTAACAAATGTTCGAGAAATACTGAATGTTTTCAAATAGATTAAATATTGTAACATTATTGTAATTATTTTCGATATACAAAAAAACTAAAAAAAAAAAAAATTATACATTTTTTTTCCAAAATCAATTATTTTCTTAAGACAAGCAGAAAGTTCTTTGAATCATTTAAATCGGACGCTTAGTTCTCTCAAAAACTGCCATTTTTTACATATTTAGCTCCGTATCTTCGAAGTGGCTGGGTCTGCCTTTGCCAAAAACTAATAAACACTTCTCCCAATCATTACTAATTGAATGTTTTTTAGATCTCCGAGAGAGACTCCGTTCTCTCAAAAAGTCGATTTCTATTTTCTGCACTCGTTGCTCCGTATCTCAGAAACGGCTGGACCTGCCTTCGCCAAAAACTAATCAACTCTTTTCCCTATCAATAGGAATCGAATGTTTTTTGAACCATTCAAATCGGTTGATCCGTGCGTCCGAAAACGTGACTGGAAATTTGTATCCATACATACATACACACACACACACATCCATTTTTTCTGAAGTATGCCCAAACGTTCAGAAACCTTCAAAACGTCGAGAAATGTAAAAATTTTCAATTCCGATTTTCGGCCCATTACAATAACTTACCCTACGGGAAGTTAATTGATAACTTTACTAGTGGAGTGCATGGCATCGTGCCTTAAGGCAAATTGCTGGAACTTCCTGTTCCGTAATTAAAAATCTTCGTACGGAACCCGACAAAAATTACACAAAATGTGTGCACATTATTAAAATCTCTATAAAATATCTGACAATTTGATGTACATATGTACAATAAACATTTATGACCGCCAAAATGACATTTTTTTAAACTTATTCTTATAGAGAGTCCATAACCGCTGCATCTGCCTTCCCAAAAATTCAATCAGTTCTTCATCTTGTCAATACAATTAAATTGTTTTTTGAATCATTAAAATCGGACGCTCCGTTCTCTTAAAAACTGAGTTACCGTTTTTGGCACTTTCTGCCCCGTATCTTCGGAACGGCTAGACCTGCCTTCGCCAAAAACTAATCAGCACGTCCCCCCCTTATCAATACGAATCGAATGTTTTTTGAATTATTCAAATCGGTTGATCGGTGTTCCCGAAATCGTCGACGAAAATTTGTATCCGCATACACACACATATACATCCATTTTTTCTAACAATAACGTATGCCAAAATGTTCAGAAACCTCTGAAACATAAAGATATAAAAAAAAATATTTTCGATGTTTTTGCGATTACTATAACTTACCCTGCGTGAAGTTAATTATTGTTTTTCTCGTCCATTCGTAGATGAATTGAGGCATGTTTGTTGATGTTCGTGAATGAATTGAGGCATGTTTCGTTGAGCAACTCTCATGCTCGAACTGTTGCAAATTATTCGGGATGATTTTTATCCACAAACTTTTGGAGCTCAGAAAGCTACTTATAAAAATATACCTATAAATACAATACAATATATATAATATTATTGTAAAACCCTTAGCTGATGAAGTTATATATTCTTTATCAAACTTTTCTGTTTAAAAACAATACATATTTATGATGTGTTACGCTTGTACGGCTTGTACATCCTCGCCATCCTAATACTTTTCGATAATTCAAAAAGCAAAAGCGCAAACTCAAAAAATAAATTAATCGTTTAAACGTAAATCGTTTCTACAAAATATTAATATTAATCCTTTATAGGCCCATGTAACTTTCAAGTTACATTTTAGTTTATTGTAATTTCTCAAATAATTATGACTTTTTTCATAATAATATAAACTTACGAATCTCAATTTCATAACCTTGCCAGGTTCTTCAACCTGAAATGGCAAGCTCGAAGTGATATTATTTGTACCTTTCATAATAATTACGAAACGGATCAAAAACAACATATATTTGTTTGTATTTCAATTTTAAGTTTGTTATCGTTTTTTATGATACAGTTTTATAATTTTGAGTAGGCCATCATGGCAGATTTTGGTTGACCTTATACCCAATTGTGCATAATAAAGTCTATGGTTCACAATAGCTTCAGCTTTCTTTTGTCAACACATTAATACGTTAGATACCCAAAACAGATAAATTATAAAGGTGCGTCCACACCTAACGAACGAACACGAACGAACATGTCGAACAAGAAAATACAAAGAAGAACGAACAGGAACACGAACGAACGCGAAAAATTCCAAACGAACTTGAACAAGCGCTTAAAAGCAGTGAGCGCTTGAATTTTCGTTGTTCGTAGATGTTCCGTGAAACGTCAGTTTTATTATTGATATGGATGTAAGCTTTAATCATACGGCATTTTTCACTGGTTTTTGTGTGATTTTTGTTCGTGTATATTTGTAAATATACTGTAAATAAATTATTCAATTTATATTTTGAGTCGTTTTCTTTCCTCAGCATTCATATTCGGAGCAAGCTGAACATTCCAGGTTTGAGCTAACTATACTCATCCTCAACATATATGTTGAATGTCTATGTATGATAACAAGTTTAATATTTACTTGTAAAGACTGCAATTTCTTCTTTACTGCAGCTTCTGACAAACGTTTTGCCTACACTTTCCCAAGCATCGTTTTTTTTCTAATAATTTTATAAAATGGGTCTTTAGTCTCCCATATTATAGGAAACTTTTTTATTTCATTTATGAATGATAAAATTACGTCATTTGACCATTCCATAATTCATTCAAAATTTTCAAACTGTACACAATAATTAAAAGTAAATATTATTAAAATTTTCAAACTGTACACAGTAATTAAAAGTAAATATTATTAAATTATTAACATTATTATTAAATTATAAAAAAATATTATTAAATTATTAAAATTATTAAAACAAAAATGTTCGTTTGCGTTCGTTGAGACGTCCACACTGCACATACGAGTTCAAACATGAACGAACAATTCCCTTTGATGTACCGACAAGTTGCGGAACATTGCTCGCCATGTTTGTTTATGTTCGTTCGTGATCGTCGTGGCGTCCACACTATGCTGTTGCCGTTCGTTCTGGTACGTTCTTTTATGTTCGTTCGTGTTCGTTCGTTAGGTGTGGACGCACCTTAATTAGAAGCACTAACAGTGTTAGGTTTGATGATTTCTTATTAGATTCCGAGTCCGATGGGGATGTCCCCGACGATGAATAAATATTATTGATAGAGAAAAAATGTCAAAAAGTTGTCCAACTTCAAATGAGATATATAAACAATTAAAAAACAAAAAAACTAAAATACAATATCTGTAGAATATCTGGAAAAAAGTTGTAGCATAATGGCCATTTTTTTGATAAGGAGAGAATGTTCCAAAAAGCCCGGAAGTAAAATAGTTTCGAAATTGGTATGCTATAAATACAGTTCATTTATGTTTAAGGTCAAAACGAATGCTTTGTAGAATTCTATATATAATATATAGTTGATTAAACAAAATATTATAAAATAATTTTGCTATTTATTTTATTACTTAATATTATAACTATAGTAATATTTTTGTTACTTATTTTATAATAGTACTACTTATTTTTTTCGTATAAAATATGACAGAGATCAAATTACTCTTAAACTATTCCTACAGCATATGTTATTAGTCTTTTGACTATATTCCAATCATATATGTAATATGTATTCTTTTTGTTATTATTATTGTAAATATGGTTTTTAGTGATTATTTTTACCATGATTAAAAAATTATTTATAGGTTAAGTTAATTTTTATTAGTTAGTATTAAATATAAGTTTATGTATTTATATCTTAGGATAGTTATACATGTTTATTAAATTGTATAGAAATATGTATGTATAATCTAATATAAATGAAATAAATAAATCTTTAAAAACAAAAAACAAACTACTTATTTTTTTCGTAATTTTTTTGTAGTTTTGTTCCAATGAGGAAGAGTCAAATTGTAACTCGAAACGTATGGATCTATTAAATTTTTTTTAAAGAACATATTTTAATTTTCTTTCTAATTTATTATCTGAGTGGATGCCTGTTGAGAAGTATTTTGTTTAAACAACATATTTATCACTATCCAAAGAAATATTACATCTATGTAGTAATATATGTATGTATATATATATATATATTTATATATATATATGTATTGTATTTTGTACTAGTTCTATACTATTCTGTACTAGTATGTAAAATCACTAAATTATTTTTATGTATTTTATTATTGTTCATATAACATATAAATTACTTATGATCTTTGTTAAATTTGCATTAGATGAACTTGGTCCGAATGAATGTTGCGTAGAATTTAAATATTTCGATAAGCAGGTCAATTCGGTCATGGTGACCCTTATGCATGCTGCTGTTAAAAGAGCGCCAAACAAGCAGCATAATAAAAATGCGACCATATACGAGTTTGCCGCCAAAATCTATCAATTCTGTACGGTCGTAGGTCATCAAGTGATAAAGTAGAAAGCCAATCTTCGTCCAATGCACTAAAATTATACAAAATAATTCTGATTAATTAAATTATTACTATTTTTTTTTAAATATTGATATTTTCAAGTACAAGAATTATAATTATCCTCGCTTTTTTCAAGACTAAAAGAAAAAAAATGGCTAAGAATTGCGCTAAATATAATTGTTAATAATAGCGTTAATAACGGATTTTGTTATAACTCATCTACTAGGGAACCCGAAAAACGATGATTCAGCACTTACTCCGGAGGTAAAAGTTAAGAGATTTTAGTAATGTGCTTAATTAATTATGCTTATTGATCGGTCATTTTTAACGAAAAAAGATATTCGTTACCAATTTTAGGTTGTAAATTTATAATAATTAAAATAGCCAAATATTTATTCAAAACATTAAACATTTTTTATTCTGATTTTACATACTGCATTTCTTAATACATTTATTTTTTAATCAGAAAGTTTACCGAATTGTGAGTATTTAAATTAATTTTGTAATCCTATT